TATCCCGATGCTTCCAGATTTGGAATTTTCTTTGCTGTTGTCTTAGCATCTCATATAATTGGTGAACTACTAACCCTTGTTATACTTGGCGTGGTTCAAAACCCAAATATAGTCCAAAGCGGAGTGGTGCTACTTAATTCGGCAGGTGTGGTAGTGGGAACGGGATTAGTAAGGTAGGAAAAAAGTTTTATTTCATTATGGTATTAATGTTAAAATAATCTACCTGTAAGAAGAGTTTCACGAACAGTCTGTATTGCAGAGGCACAATAATGCACAAGTAGCAAGGGAAAGAAAGCGCAGCTGAGATATCCTTCAGAGATAGAACTACCTAACCATGTTAGCCCTTGTACTAAACACAGAGAACAGATACTTAATAACTTTAGATATCAACAAAGATACTAACTTTTTTTTTCTTTTTGCAAACAAATTGAAGATAAAGCTGAGCAATTAATATCAGCTCAGCTGACTTCTTTTACTTATGCCAACATTATGATGTGAAATGCTGTGCTCATTAAAGGAGCCTACCAAAAAAAAGTTCCTACAACTTTTAGTAACTGCTGGAGCTTAACAGACATTAAGCACTGAGTTGTTCTCAACTAGCTTATTAGTGTTATTCTCCAGTTTAGCCATTGAACTTTTCAGACACATTTTTACCTCTGCAGACTGAACTGCATACAAGTAACAAATAAGGAAGTAGTGTAGTAAATACATGGGAAAATTATGATCCACTTGCTCTATTACTGTGCAAATAAATGCTTTTGCACTGAAATTGCATGAACTTTGAATAGTTTTCCCCTGGTACCTGTCAATACTGAAATTACTGTTTTTTTGAGAAACATACCAGAATAAATGTATTACTGTCAAGAGAAGTTTTCTTGGGATGTTGAGCAAATATGATATGCTCACCTGAGATCTTTCCAGTGAAAATGAAGTAAGCCTAACAATAGATGATGTCAAGTTGTCCTTGAGAAAAGCATATGAGTCTTCACAAAGTTGATGATGTTTTACCTCTTTGAAGTAGATCTCAGCTAATACTTGCTTATCAAATAAAACTAGGTTAATATCTAATTATTTGGTCCCTGCCTAATTTCAGGAAGATGTATGTTCCTAGTGACAAGACAGTTATTCTCTCTACCATAGTCTAATGCCTTAATGACAACTTTTAAAAAGTATGAGAGTGTTTTCTAGCCTTATTTTACAGTAGAGATATTGCTAATTAGTATTGTGCATCTCTGATTAAACTTCATAGGCAATGAAGGATATTAAAAATAGCATTGAGATTTGGGTTGCTGTTTTTTTCTGTTCATTTGTTGGTTTAATTATAAAGTCTTGCAGTATTTTAGGTGCAGAAATTGCCCAGTCTTGTTGAATAATGTTATTTCAAAATTTTCATACTCTTGTTTCTCTTCTCTTTTTTTTTTTTTTTTGCTTCATTTTTGTTTTGTTATTATTGTTCCAGTGAAATGTTATTCTGTCTTTTTTGGTTTTGAAGATGGAGTGAGGAGGTGGTGGTTTCTTACTGTGGAAGCTGCATAGTTTTGCAGCTAAGGTTCTTACCGGCTCTTGTAATTTTCAGTTTATCACTGCAATGTGAATAGCAAACAACTCCGTAGAATTACTTGTGACTGTCCATGAACAAGTCAGGGCTGAATGTTATGAAACTGTACCAAAGCCAGAGACAGCTTTCATGGTTGTCTCCCCATTTATCAGTAAAATGGACTTTATGTTTGAAGACCTTACAGGTACAGCCAAGAACTGTTTCTGTAACAGGCTACCACCAAAGATGAGAGCTTGCTTTAATTTGGGGTGGAATTGGCTCTTGGAATGTAGCGAAAGCCAGTTTAACTTCTCTGTTTCTTTAAGGACCATCGAAGAAATGCCGACGCTTTTTAAAATACTCAGTTATCTTACCTTTCAAAAATACAGCAGTGAAGTTCTTATAGTCAATGAATTTTATGGCTTAAACTTCACATGTGGTAAGTGTTAAAAAAAAGGCTACTTTTTTTTCTTTAAGTCCATTGTAAATAATTTTAATGATATGTAGATGCTTATTTTCCTTCTACATACAATAGAAGTATTCTGATAAAGGTAACTTGTGAGTTGTTAAAAAAAGCTTATAGTAGAGACTATAACACTGTATCAGCAAGCTAGACAAAAATGTTTATTGGTATGTTTTTGTTTTTTTTCCCAACCATTTCTCATTCTTTCAGTTTTTCATCTTTTTCTTCCTCACCTGTTTTTACTCCCTCTTTGGGGGCATTTTGGAAGCTAAGCTTTGCAGTCTGTTATGAGCTTATCGGAGCAGTGTTACACAAATAGAATTGCCCAATATAAGATCAAACATCAGTGCAGGGAGCACTGACACATAACACCTCACCAGATGTTTCTTCTAATGCTCGTGAGGCCTCAGTTCAGCTATGTTACCACGGCACACACTGAGCAGCCTGGATCTGTCAGGCTGTGCTCTGCTGGTTGTGAGCAAGGTAACCACCAGAACATCAGAATCAGTCAGGTAGGCAGGGTTAGTAACTGCCATCCATCCATGGGGGTAAAACTTACAGCTTTGCACCTACCCGAAGATGTTTTGGGCTTTGTAGCCAGGTGTCTGTGCTCCTCTCCAAGGTTATATATTCTTTCTCCATTAATCCCTCCTGTCCCTCTTTAGTACAAGAGCACAGGTGGCAACTGCTAGAAAAGGAATCAGTGACTTCAGTAGTAATAATAAACAGATGATTTTTAAAGTACCCTTCGGACAGTCTCCATTTCTTGAATTTTGGAAGCACTCAACAAGTCTGAGTACTGTATGTCTACCACACTGGGCAACTCGCTTCTTGAGGCCCCTCCAAGTAATGTGTCTGAAAAGCCAGAAATCTTCCTTTGTTTGACATGTACAAACCAGAAAGCTCCTAGTGACCCTTTATTCTTCTCTTCAAAAAATATGGCATAGATTAACTGCAGAAACACAGGGCTTTTCTGTTCTTATTCCAAAATGATGAGAAATACTGCTGTGGGTATAGTTCATCATTAAGTAATGCTAGGGCTAGGCATGTTACATCTGCACTGAAGCCTCAGTTTTAACTTCACCAATTCACCTACTAAAGAAATTAATTTTTTTCTTTTGACAGGTGGAGCCAACAGTTCCACTGCAATTAATGCTACGTGTATTTTCTCTCATGGCATTCAGTTCATTGAAAAAAACTTCCCTGGTGCAGTGTCCCGGTTCACAATCAATTTCCTAGTACTCTATGCTTTTCTACCAGGACTTGCCATTGTAGCAATTCTGAGCTTCAAAATAAGAGAGAGAATTACCGGCAAGCAGTAAAAAAGCAGCAGCTCTAACAATGTGTGATACTACACTTTTAACTTTATTATAGTTGAAGGCTAAAGTTGTTGGATTTTACATAGAATTTAAATGATTTTATATAAATACATTCATCTTCTTATGTCTAAGTGGATGTTTTCCATCTTGAAAAACAACGTTCTCTTAAGAGTGTTAATGGCTTCTTGCTATTGGTATTCCCACCCTGCTCCCAAATCAGCCCTAATCAACAGTATTACATGTTTTAAAGGACTTTCGGAAATTAATTTAGTCAGCTAGTGCTGTCAATTTTTAACAGTGTAGCAATGGTGCTCTAGTTTTTCCCTCCACTATTTTGTTTTTTAACCATTACCAATAAGCAGAAGGGTACAATTACTAGTAAATGTCATTTCTAGAAATGTATTTTAAGTCCTATGCTTTGTTCTGATAGCATTTTTGGGATTTCTAGAAAGGGAACAAGCCAAGTACATGTAAAGGCAGACTCAAGAAATCACTCCACTTTGATTTTATGCATAATATACAACCAAGGAGTACAGGATCTTTAAGCAATATGAAAGTCACCTAACATGTTTTTGTCTTGTCAATGATGGTAAATCAGAAGACAGTTATGTTATTTATATCTTCCTTCCTTTTCATTATCAAGTTCTACATCTTGGTTTGGAAGTAGTTTGTGAATTACTAGAACAAATTTTTGTTTGTTAATAAAATGTCAATTTAACTAGGGGAAAAAAAATAAAAGTTGTTTGCCAGTTCTTGGAAGCAATGTAGTTTGCATCTTTGGAAATTACTCTCATGGGCTCACTAACATCCCAGAGTCTAGTATATCTATTTAAGAAATATAAGTACCTCTCAACATTGAAAGCCAGACACAGAAATTGAAAACAGACACAGAATTCTTAAATTTTTATAACTTATTTTTCATGTAGAGTGAAGAAATTATTTATTACAGAGGGATAGCTAGAGATTTCTTCAAGGAGGTAAGTATATCTTGATATTCCATAATAATATAATTAGTTTAACTTGATAGTTTTGAGACAATGCACTTTGTGATGAAGAATTTTAAGTCCTCAAGTTAATGACAGTTCTTAACTGAAGTGTGAGGCCAAGATTTTTTTTCTAATAAATAGTTTTATTTATAATATTCCAAAATACAAAAGTTCTATCAGAAAAACATTTGGTGGACAAGTATGTTAAAAATACCAAATAACTTTAAAGAGCGGGAAAGACACCACATGGGTTTGTCTTTCCCATTTTTATGTACATAGAGGGTTGCTCATCAGGGAACACTTACGCTCTGGTCTGCCAAGTGATTGTTCAGACATTTACTCTCTGACAAGTCTCCGCTCTCAAGAGACACCTCTGGCTTTAATCTAGATCTTATCTTGCATAGTCTCAAAATACTCAGTCCATCTCACACTAGTGAGGATGTCCATGGACAAGAAGTTGTTTGTAGTTGAGGCTAGCGTTTTACCAACTTAGGCTGAATGTGAATCAATTACACTTCCACCACTAGCCAAATATCTGTTAAATTGTTTAGAAGGACCTCCTGGCGTTTGATTATTTAACAGAAATGTTTGTCTTCAAACGTCTGTGCAAAGTTATTACGACATTATACACTGGAAGAAATAATTCCTGTATTGAACTATATTACACTGAAACAGAGATAAAGCAAACTTCTGAATTCAGGTTAAACATGGTTTTAATTCCACTTTATTCTGCCAGTTTTTGTGGACCTATCCTATTCAAATACATCAAACAAAGATGCAAATATATTCTTAAGCTTTGCTTTTGAATTACATATGCAAAGAACTAGGAAAAAAGATGCCTAGCACACTTTACTGTGCAGTTTTGTATTTGGGGTGTGAAAACTTGTTTATGTTTGAATACAAGTTTAGGGCAGAAGCATTCAAAAATAAACCCAACAATGTGTTATAAAATAGGCAGTACTGACTAATGCCAGTCTTCATATTCAAACCTATCTCTGAACAATTTAGAATTCCTTTTTTTCCCACTTTTTAAAACTCCGGGTCAGTACTAAGATATACTTACATTTGGAGTGAATAAATAAATAGCTCTTTTTATTAAAAATACTAACAGGAATGCTTAACAAATATGCATTTTGTAGTTTGATATTGCATATTTTCAACTGCATCAGATGAAATTGCTATTGTAATGTTAAAATGATTAAAGTAACTTTGTAAATGTTAAATTGAATACACCTATAGCAGTTCATCAGAGTCAAGATCCATTTCTTTCCAGGATTTAGAGGCATTTCTCTTGTATTGTTCAAGTTCCTGAAACAGAAACAGACATACATATTAATCCAATCTCCTCATTACTAGAAGTTATAAAATACATATATTAGCCACTTGAACATTTAAAGCATGTACAAACATTTTTCACTGCAGGAAACATACTATACATATTTTTATCTTTAACAGAATTAAAAGTGCTATAAATTTTGCCACATTTGCTGTCATATAGGGATCTAGTTTTTATTCGACCTAGATACTTTATAGGGAAGAAGAGATTTTGTGTCTTTTCTTGGACATTCAGTTTGAGAAACCAAGCTCCTTATGAACATACAGAAATGTAACACTACATGTGTTTTAAAAACAGAAACCAGAATTACCCCACAGAAACTACAGTTTCACACCCTTGAAGACAGGGCCTTTCAAGAAGCAAAGTGGATTGGTAATTCCTTAAGATTACAGAACAGAAACTAGAAGAACAAAACCTACTTACTTTTTTTTTTTTTTAAGCATGGGACTGAACTGAACTTCCGTAAGCTTATATGTCACCAGTGGTGATAACTTAAGAGCGCTACCAGTGGACTTTAGAAAGCCCCGCAGAACACAGACTTGCCCAGAAAGCAGTAAGCAGAACTATGTTTTAGAGGAATGCAGTGAGTGTTTAGGAAATAGACATACCATATCTATTTAATCAATGGTACTGGATATTTGTGGAAATATTATTCATCATTGCTTGAGGTTTTTCAGGAAGTGTATTACTCAAGATAGACAATGATGCCATTCTTTTGTTTGTTTGTTTTGTTCTTCAATTAGGTTGAAAGGTTAGCATCTGCATGTAAAAATAAAATGCAAACTCAGTGTGGTAATTAAAATTATGCGTCTTCTAGATAGTAATTAGATTATTAAAAGCAAACAGAGGCTCAAATTGTGGAGCTATAAATGAAGCTGAGGCAGTGTACGTTACGCTATACTTGACATCAGCTGCGTACTAGCGAGGCAGACAAATGACCTCGTTTCAGTCAGAAGTGCTACTGGGAAGTTTGAAGCCTATAATAAAAGGTTCTAGCAACATTACCAAACAACAGTTTCATCTTCTGAATATTATGTAGTGGAGCATACTCTCAGGAATTATTTCTGAAGATTTGTTTTCATCAAAAATTAGTATATAAAGCACTATATTTGCTTTTCGTTCATTTAAGAAGGCTTCCAATGTATTTGCAGAAAGATCATGCTCTAATGAGGTACTGTTAGGCCTAGCCCTGTACTGCTTGCAATACAAAAAGAGTCATCGTATCTTACTTAGATCAGGAAAAGAGGTGGACATAAACCAGTGATTAGTGCATGGGCATGTGTTTTATATGGTTGCTATTCTGATTTTAATAGAATGGACTTAACAGAGCAAGGGAGGTTTCAATGTAGGTATACAGATACCAGAACTGACAAAAATAACAAAAAAATCACACTTGGTTAACTTAACAAGTATTAATTCTCAGTCCAGACACAGAGGAAGGAAGAAAAAAAATTAAGGGCAGAGCAACAAAGAAATCATCATCTGAAAATTGTATGGAAATAATAAATGGAATTTTCTCTCAATAAATAACTTCAGCAGCTTTGTCAGTAGTGGAAAAACTTCAGAAAGCACCACAGATTTGTAAGCAGTAAGAGGGTTTTTAATTAGTGCATATTCTTCACGATGCTTGCAGAGCCTAGTTTTTCAGTTAAGTAACTCACAGATGACTGACACAGGATATAATGTGTCTAGTCTAAATCCAGTAAATTGCATTATTAAATACAACTCTAGTACTACTGAACTGTTCTGTCTCTAAGCCAGTCTTTACTCAGTATTTTCACTCCATTATTAATATAAAGTAATTATGATGTTGGAACATACTGAACTGTTGGAAACTTGCCAGCCGTTAGGAATAGAAAGAATACTGTGATATTTTAAGGATCACATGTAACCTGATTTATGCTAAGTAAATTATTTCAATTCTAACAACTTTCTCAAAGGCTACAGGGAGAGGTAAAATTAGTCAATGTAGTTTTACTTATAAGGACAATGCTGTCTGGGGGTCATGGCTACAGGTGTTGCCTAAATAATTAGCCTTACGTATTTATCATCCGACTAAACTGTTTCAGCAGAGAGGCAGGTACTTCAGCAGAATCTGCTTTGCTGCAATTTTAGCTAGCCAGAAGGCAAATCAGTGTAAAAGCAATTCAAAACAATACAGAAATGCCAAGTATCAAACCCACAGCGTATATTAAAACTGTATGGCTATTCCGCTACACACAAAAGTACAGAACACAATGATAAATATTTCTTTTGGAGACATAGCTACATAAGACTAACATTTAAACAATGAGATGAGAGAAAAAAAGAATTAAAGGGCAGGATATTTACAAAAAAGAGTCTTTAACAAATTCAGTGATTCTGAAGGAAAAATGCTGTCAGGAAAGTATACTTCCTTACTTTTAATATAAAATAGAAAGCAAAATAAAACCCCTTAAGTCAGAAACAACAGAAAAATCTGTTAAATACATCTTAAAGATCACTCCAGAGACCCTTTTGAAAGAGGATACCCTCCTGCTCGTAAAGTCCTACACTACAAACATAAGCAAAATTCTAGAATACACTGTAACAATGCAATCAGCTAAGAGACCCTCTCTCCAAACTGAAAGAAGATCCTACAAAAGATCGTATCTCAAAGTACACCAGAATGTTCACACTAGGGTAATGCCTTCTTTGCTTCCTGGGTACCAAGTGTAAGGGGCACAGATCAGATTTACAAAGAAGTAACAATTGCAATTTAAATATACTTTCAATGTGCTTTGAGTGCTTCAAACATACTAGTGCTAGCAACTTGTCCTAAATGCTCAAACACTGGCATAAAGCAGATTTTAATTTTTATTTTAAACTTGAATGCTTCTGTACTTCTACGTTTCTATAAATTCTTCATCTGTCAAATGGGGAAGATCACACCTAATTTCATAAAGGGATTGGGAAGAAAGACTTAACTGATGTTTGTGAGGCATTCAGATAAGATAACATTACCACACATTCTAAAAGAAAAAAAATTAATACTTTTGTGATCATTGAAGTGTCTGAATGGCAGGTGGAGAAATAAGGTACACAAAGAATAAGGAAGATGAAAAGAAATACTGAACAATTGAATTGAGACGTTAGCAAAACAGTATATGATCATGTAATTAAAGACAATAATGTCTACAAACAAGGAGGAAAAATTAAGATTGTAGGAAAAGCCTTAATTGTTGCCATTTCCTCAGTTCTGAGGGACCGATAGGACTTAAACTTTTGCATGCAGTTTCTTACTGAAAGTGCCCTCAATCTGGAACACAGTGAAAAGAACTAAGTACTGAAACAAGGATTAAAAATCTGAAGCACCTAAAATTCAGTAGGAAATTTAGTAACAGTGCTCTAATAACGCTCTTTAAGCTATTTAAGAAAAAAAGTTTTGTAGCCATTTGGACGTACTTTGATGTGGAAACGAGAATGCTTATTGTTGGCAGCTGAGTACACATCCTAAACAACTTTTTCTCCGCAATATGAAGACCAGCACTTCCCCTCCTCTGGAGGAAATGAAAGATGCTACTGGCTGTGTTACCCATGTTAAGGTGCCTGTCACACTTCTCTGCCCAGTAACCCTGGTCTGACCAAGGAGGATTCATAGCACAATATGCAATCTTTTATTTTGTTGAATGAGACTGAAATGGTCTCCTGAAGTTCTGCAATACAGTGATGTCAGTGAAATATGCTGAAAAAATATGGCACTCGGGGACGGTGTTGGCCAACAGAACATCTCAAACAGACAGCTGCAGATCTGACACCAAAATGACTTTCAGTTATGAATGCCATGGTTAATTAGGTCACTCCTATTTTAGGGAAAACAGGACTATGCTTCCTTGTGAGATGTTACAGAACCTCCCCTTCTTCTATTTATGACTTATTAAAGTCTTAACAGTTACAGTCCTGTTTGTTGATACCTGCTTCCGTTACTGCTTCTTAGCTGACACCAAATGGCACCAGGCATCTATATTTTTTTTTTTTTCAGTATACTTTATGGCATTAGGCTTCAGCTAAAACTGGCACCAATCCCTGAAGTATTACCTTTGTGTAACAAGGACCAGTCAGTGTGAACTTTGGCCTTGCGTGACACTGACCTCTGCAGTACCTGACTGGGAGGCTGTGCAATTCTTTGGGCTCAAGGTTAGCTTTATCATTTGCTTCAATGAATGAAGCTGTGGTCAAATGTCCAGGTGGAAAAGGTCCGAGCACCTAGTTTGAATATTAGCAATACAAGACAGAACAGGATAGCTAAGACCTCAAACAAACAAAAACCTTCAAAAAAACATCTTTGAGTACTTATCCCTGTAGCAGAGTGTTTCTATGGGAAACAGAGCAGACACCCCCATGTCCCACCTTACTGCCACAAACATTTAGGAGCGAAGGAACATGACTTTCGGGCACTCACAGGTGCTCCCAGATGCAAGGGCTGTACGTGTAGCTCTCATAGACAATATTATTTTTAAAAGATCTCACATGTGTACCTAAACCAAAATTAAGGTGACCTTAACGCATCAGAAGCCAAAAACTAGCAGAGAATACAGAAAAACAGATGACACGTTTACCATGTTGTTTATGTTTTATGAAGACTTAACAGCAAGCTACATGTTTAAGGCCTAATAAATATGCAAAATGAATGGTTTTTCTTCAATCTTCTGGAACACAAAATTCCAGTAATTCCCAGAGAGAATTTGCTAGTTACAAAATGCATTAAAAATGTAAATTCCCAAAAGGTCCCTGGTGCTGTATTCTCTCTCTCTGAGCTTAACTCCAGAGAACCAAAAAGCAGTAAACAATTGCAACAGCACTACTTCATATAAACCTGCAGGTTGTGTGTCTGTGGGGTAAGAATGAAGAAAGGAACTCTGAAAAAACATAGTTGAGAAAAAGGGATGTGCTCTATCTTGAACAAAGGCACAGTGAGGAAAAGATGCCCTCAGAGAGCTTTCCTGAGCAAAAGGGCCTAGAGATACAGTGGTATGTCTCACAGTTAACTCTGAAAATATTAAGGAGGCAAAATAATCTGGTCCAGAAAAAAACACTCTTGTGGCAGAATGCTGATGAGCTGGACTCTTAACTTTTACTGCCAAAAAGCATCTCAGGTAATACTAGTTGACAGCTAGTTAGTACATGGGAGTGTGCCAGGTACTCTCTCCTTTCTGTACTTTTTTTTTTTAAAAAAAAAAAAAAAACCCAAACCCATTTTCTAATTTTATACTTGAGAATTTAACCTTTTACTTTGCTGGAGCATACAAACCCTAGCTGCAGACAAACACTTTAACCAAGGTTACAAAGTTGGAATTGATTGAATTAAACTTTGTATTGCCAGTTATCTATAAATCTATTACAGTATTATTGAGCAGTCCTGACCAAGGCTGAGTCAGTCAGCTATGCTAGCTCTATCACACTCAGTGACAGGGGCTGTATTTTTTTTTATCACTATGTTCTTGGGTTTGTTTTTCCTTTAAAGCTTATCTTTGAGATAAAAATGCAATCTGGTTATCACCTAGAGTCCAAAGTGGCATATTAATTAACCGAAAGTAACCGAGAAAAATTATAACATGCACTTAAATGATTTTAAAATATACACTGTTGTCATACGTAACTTTGATTTTGCATCATGTCCCATGATTTCATTAGCAACACGTTGTATATTAAGCATGTTTATATACTGTTCTTCCTACACAGTGGGTATCATGAGACCCTATAAAGAATGTCAGATTTACCATGCATTTAAAACGTTGTTTTAAAAATAGCATTTTTGTGTCACTTTTCATGTAATTGGGAAATCCAAAGACACATCAAGAATCACTGCAACTACACAGTTCTTTCCTTTTAGATGCATATTGCTGCTATCTTGATGCATTTCAAATGGAATTAAATTATTGGAAAATAAAATATTTTAATATGCAAATAATCTTGGAAAAAGTGAACTTCATGATAGAGAAGTTTAGGAAATAGCTGCAGATAACAAAAGTAATTTTCTCTTTAATGCCTAAATTACTCATAGTAGTCGAACTAAAAGAAGCTACACTTGTTTGAAATGCCCTTGAACAGATTAAGATTCTAAAAGCCTGTCTCTTTTGTTTAAAAACAGAAAATTAATAACTTCCTGTATGATTTAATCAACATGTACCAGTATCTTCTTTTGCAAGACATAATTATTGTCTAAAAATAACAAACCTAGTACACCACATAGTTATTTTGAGATATACAGATATACTGAGTATGAGATTACATTATAAATTCCAAAAGCAATGTGCTTTACAAATTTTAATGATTTCTAGGGCTGCTCTTGATGTAACAAATTCAGAACTGATGCCTACATTAACAGGATATTACAGGTAATGTGCAAGTTCAAAGACTGCAGGGGATTCTTGAAATTGCTTTATTCTTTTACATTATTCATGTATTTCTTTGGATCAGGCAACTATGGGTTTACTGCCTTATGCAATCTAACTAAACTCTACAAAAACATGATGGCAGTAATAATCTAATCCTTTGGCTTTCTTTTACAAGCATGCAAAAAGATGAAATTTGCCATGGTATTTTAGGGTTCGTTGAGATTAACTGCGGTGCAATTCAATAACACTGCCTTTCATCTTAAGAGCAGGGATCTGTATAATCATGCGAGATCTAGACTGGTACAATCCATCATCTTAAAGCGCTGTTAGAAAAACCTCCTTTAACAGCAGTAACTGGGTCCACAAAGAAGTTAAGTGGTGTACAAATAACCCACGTATCGGCTGTCAGACCAGAGCGGAATGTTTCTCAGTCATTCTAGCAAAAAACTCTGTGTGAAACAAATGAATCTGTATGAAATGCTGCGTCGGGAAACTCTCTCTGTGATACCTCTTCCAAACAAAGAAAAATACACAAATCTTGGGTTGATTTTAGCAGGCCCATACCTATGATATCGATGAAGACTATACGCGGTATTTCTACTGACGCGATGTTATACACCAGTATATATAAGGCAACGTTCTAACCTTTGTCTAGTTTGCCACAGATATTTTCTAGAAAATTCATTCACCACAAATATAGGGACATGCAGAAAAACTTCAAAATTAATCAGAAAAAATAAAAGGTCCGTTCCCCAAACTAAAGGTCTTTCCTGGAATTCAGAGATTAAGCCAAATATCACTATGTGGAATAATTCTGTTCACTCTGTTTAAGGTAAAATGTAAAAAGCCTGTGAACTCAAGTCATGAATGTTACAATCTCAGTACCTTTCCCGTTTAAATAAAAAGTTTTGAAGGAGAAAAACAAAAATGAAAACAAACAAACAAACAAAAAAAACACACACACAAAACAAAACAAAACAAAACAAAACAAAACAAAAAAAAAACACCTAAACCACCCCCACACCAAACCTCGATATCGCTTCCTAGAGTTTCTGCTAGTCAACAACTAAACGAGAGCAGAGGGTGCAGAAATTAGGAAATTACTGCCAAGAAATCTTCACATCTTTGCTTCAGTATTATTTTAGTGAGATCTTGAAGAGAGTTAGAAGTGATTAATTCAAATTTTGCCTCTAGGTAAACTACAGAGCCAGAACTTTGAGATGTAACAATGCTCTACTGGCTTAAAGTCTACCAATGGAAAATAACCCCAACTAATAAACTGAAAACCAAAGCTGAAGTTATTTAGAGGCAAAAAGGGGATTATGAGTATATTCTACAATTAATTCAGCAGTGCTGGTGGTTCTGGAATACCTGACTATGAACAGCACCTGGAGAACTACCACACACCTGGTTTTTCTGAGCTCTCATGACATCGACTTCATACTCGGCGTACTGTAAATCCTGTGCAGGGTCCTTGGTATCTTGTAAATCACAGAAACTCTAAAAGAAGAAATTATAATATCCCAAATGATAAAGTTTATCTTCTGTTAACAAGAAAATGCCACACTGTAGATCTAATGGAATTATTTGCTTTTAATACAAATGTATTAGAATCTTGCATTTATGGAAGAATTTTGTGCTATAAGATACAGATTATATAAAAATAATCTTACATTGGTAAAATGATGAAAAAGTAATAGTGCAGTTAGATCTTAAAGGAAAGAAAATATTCTTATTTGGAAGTTGTTTATTTTTCTCTCCGCAAAAATAAAATATCCTTTCTGGCTCATGACATTCGGGCATAATTAAGGTTGCTCTTGCTAGAGCACTTAGTACTCAAGACAATAATTCACTATCTGTTTGCCAAATACCCAAACTCTCATTTACTAACCTTGAGGGAGCTATAGCATTAACTCCACAGACACAAATACACTAATAGAAAGAATCATTACTAAATAAGTAATTTAAAAAAAAAAAAAAAAATGTTGTCCTGCACATTTCTCCTTACTCGTAACAAATGGAAAGCAGCAAGAAGGCAATTGTACAAGCGATGGCATAAAATAAAGCAGAATTATACTTATTAGATGAAGCAATGCAGAAAGAAATTTACAACGCATGAAAACAGCTTTAAAGTTTAAAGCCTATTTTGGAACCAAACCAGAAGACTGGGTATCTACTTGACAATCTTCATTAAATCTCTTTTAATTGGACCGATACCTTAGAACACTGATGGAGCTTGCAAGATGAGAAACGTATTCATTTCTCTAGTTGTTTCAGAGGGAGTTCAGGAGTTGGTGGGTGGGGAATGTTTGTGGTTTAAAAGGCTGTGAGGGGAAAGTAACAGTTCTGTATCGTTTCTGGAAAGTAAGGTTTAGTCTTTATCATGTTGGGGCATAACGTACTGAGAACAGCATCTTAGTGATAATTTATTTTGGTTACAAACCACCTGAAATAATTTGTAGGCTTTGATATGTAGCAGTCGAGTGCAAAAGGGTGAATTCAGACTCCTCGTCACCAAGAATGGAGATCCATAGACTGAAGACTACAAAAAGGAGAAAGCAGCAGCCTGTATTTTCTCAGGTCAAACAGAAAATAATTTTGATTTCCCAATAAGAGCAATTCCTTTTATTGAAAAGTAGTGTTAGGGGGTTTGCCTCTTTGGGACCAGAAACTTCTGAAATGTACATATTTATCATGACATAGGTGCCAAGGGATTCCCATTACCTTGCAAATCCAAACACTTCCCATAGCAAAATGACAGACTTTGGCAACGAACTCATGACTGGCCGCATTCACAGCCTCCTGCCCTGGGAGAACAAGGATCAGCAGCTTGCTGCAGCCAGGAAGAGCTCTCCTCTTGTCATTTGGTTTAGGTATCAGGGATATGTCACATTTAAAATTCCAAAATCATTGAGTATAGCTTGTCTCTCAATATAAGGAAAGACAATGTTGTAACTTTGGAAAACACAGAGGGTTACGTCAGTAGTTTCATTACTAAATTTAGGAAGGTGACTGAAGATGTAGAAGCTAATAATCAAAGCACCACTACATACGTATCTGGATCTTCTAAAAATGTATGCACTAAAGAGGTTGGAAGAAACAGAACTGCCAAGTGAGACTGAAATTCTAGTCACTGGACTTATAAGACAAAAATTAATAGTGATATTACTACTATTCTATGAGAAAAGAAACTGTGCAGCAAACACATCGATACCTACCTTGGGAGGAAAGGTCTTCTCAAATATTTTTTTCCACAGTTCCAAAGGTGTGTTTGCACGCATCTTTCCAATATCGCTATCAGAGGCAGGTGGTGGTCCTAAGGGTTACAGCACAGCACAAAGTGATACAAGTATGTTGTCATAGCAACAGAAATTATCAAATAATTTTGGATAACGTTCCATCTAATTTAGTATTTTATCTTCTACAGTGACAAGCTGCAACAAGTTTGAAAAAACATTGATCTCCTACCATGAAACGGGCTGAGTGGTATTGTATATTATATTTTCTTTCAGATCTAAGCTTGCTGGTACTTTACTACTTGAAGTAGTCCCAATACTTCATTAAACTATCTAACAAACCTGCACAAGTAATTCTTAATAACATAAATATTGAATCATAATTTTAAACTTTCAAAGCCACTTCCTTCAACAATCTGTTAAAACAGATGCTGATGTGCTATAATTTCACTTTATGTTTTGTTTGCTTAAAATTTTCTCGTTTTCAAAAACAAGTAAGCAACAAACAGAATGGACAGGAAATGTCCTAACCTATTTGGCTCAGCGAATCCAGGCCTGCTGGTACAAATAGAGGTTTGCTGTGATCCACCGATATAGACTTGCTAAATAGAAAAAATAAAATGTATCAAGTGAACATTTAGCAATCAATGAAAAATGGCATTATTCTATCCAAGACTACACTCTTACTGGGCTTTGCATACAAATACATGTAAATAAAAATCTACTCCATTCTGGTGCTGACTGTTTCTAAGTCATCAGTTTTGGGATCAGAACCAAGGAGTTATCACTGTCCTGTGCAGAGATAGGCAGCGGAGACACAGGAGTCAACCTTGAACAAGAATCTTTCAGAGATGATATTTAAGAAAAAAAAAAATGTTTTGGTGATGAAAATATTTTAAGTACTTTTAGACTCTACACAAGATATTTAATAGTTGGACAATAATTATGTTACCTTTTATCACAGCCAAATGCCAAGTGATTAATGAGAGCACGGGCTTTCAGCAGGAGAGCCTCAGATTTACTAGTAAACTAAATGAATCAGAAAAAAATATACATTATGATCTTCCATCACAGAAATATTACATTATGTCATCTATATAGAGGATTTCAGCTAGAGCCTAGCTAATTCCTGACCTCAGTAAATTTGGTATATCTTCACGGAATTTTTTAGAATAAAAATCTCCCCCTCCAAAACATGAATGTGTTTGTCAGTGAATATATGTATCAAGAAAGATTTTTGTATCGTAACAGATTCATGTCTTTGAGAAATAAGCCAAATCCGCACTGAGGGAAATTAAGTTTCCCCCCACACATTTCCATGGCAATCAGGATTTAGCAGCCAAAGAGTTTTAGGCTCCTAGTTTTTCATTTTTAATTACAATAATGCTTAAATAGTGGTTTGAGGTTTTTTTGTTTTGGTTTTTTTTTTAATTAAGGCATCTGTATTCTCAGTTACAGAAGGTGAATCATCATGTCAAAGTATCGAGGCTGTACAATTTTACATGGATGCAAAAGGACTCGTGATTATAACAATTTAAAGCAAACGTAAGTTGTTTGGTAATCAAAATAAGATACTATTTAATAATATTTATTACATAAATGAGGGTTGATACAATTAGAACCATGTGATGTAGAGAGAACCCAAGAGGCAGCTTTTTTGGGCTGTGAACCTGAGAATGCATGTTTCTGCCTTTAATCAGAAGATGATCTGCCAAACTCAAAGCAATTTATATACCCACATAAATACTTCACTGTCCTCATGATTGGCAGTTCCTACTCATTACTGTAAAAAAATGCCAGCCTTTATTCTTCCCCACTGTAAGTGTGGTAATCTGGTGTACTTAAACTACTGTGAAGATGAGCCCTTGGATCTAAGTTTTTAAATCTACTAAATCCAGGTCACTAGACCTAAATTCATGCTTCTACCAAAAAGGCAGTTCCCTAATTCTATCTAGGGCAATCACTTTTGACTGTCCTCCTTCTTTGTACAAAAAAAAATTTGCCAGACACACAGTGAACTGAATGTGGGAACTGAGTGGGCCAACAGGTAACTATTTTTATTTAGTTTTTGCTGATACTGGGAATTATGTAGTTTGTTTGTTCACAAGGTATATCCATTCATCCCCTGCCAATACCTGTAACCCAGCTGACAAGTTAGCTCATGAAGAAAGCGACTGTAAAACTAATTAAAACCCATTTCCTCCAGGAATTTTACATTTCTATTTTTTTAAACAATATTCTTTTGTAACACAAATATTGTTCATCATCTCTATCCTTAGTTAGAAAGTGAATATACACACCACTAATGATGCTCCATAATAATGTGAAACAAATCGAAGTGTCTTGCTTATTACTTTCCTCATTTCAGAGTCAAACTCCTGAAAAAAAAGGATGTTGGAACATATACATAAGAAACAAAAACCAAAATATTACAACTAGAATTCTTCATTTTTTGTATAAGCTGCAATGAACTTAGGCTACAATATATGAGGCTTTCAGCTGTCAGCATAATTATATCTTAAGACAGAATCAGTAACAGCCTACTCTGAAATGTCACAATTTCTCTTTTGTTTCTTTTTTACAGATGGAGCCTAATTCGGGAAATACATTAGTCCAGAAAAAGTTTCTTAATTGGGAATGTGTATTCAATTTTCAATTAACTTGTTTCATTTTGGTTTAAATTTTTAGAAGTAGAAATATTGCTTACTAGAGGAATAAGGATTTCTTTTCTTTTTGTGAAAATATTTACCTTTCAGTAAACCTTTGGGTATACGCTCTCTGAACTCTAATGCCTGAAAGATTTGAAAGGTGCATAAAAATACCTTCTCATCAATGTTTCTTTAATATAACATCATACAGATGGCCTTCCCTGGATAAGGTGGATGAAAACCTGGTCCCAGTGAAGCCTGAAGGAGTCTGTCCATAGACCTCAAAGGAATTAGGCTGTTATTCTGTGCTCATTGCACGAGAGTCACTGATTTTTAAAGAAGTCGTGGCTCAGCATAAAGCCTTGTTATGAAAGAAAGCACAGTACCTTATTAATAAAGAATTAAGTAACTAAGAATTAATTAAATTAAGTAACTAAGAGTCAGCCAAGTATCAGTGCACTATGTAGTCATCCAGAGAGGCACAGGCTGCCACCATGGCAGCTAAAAATCAAACATATTGTTCTAGTTTCTCACGATCAAGTGCTGCTTGAAAAACGACTAAACATTTGCTTGGATTTTTAATGTCCTAGGAAAGAATCCAGCAGTACTATGACATTTCTTTCCTCTCCCCCCTAAAAGATACAATTAAGTTTTTGTAGACGAGTAAGAAGCACTTTGCAAAAAAGTTCCAGACTGAAATGATAGTTTACTGATCATGCTGCCACAGCTATCAAAAAATCTGACCAACTGACTTGAGATGTCCCCCTCTCACTGCCATAAACTTACAGCTGCTGTCAGAAGGGATGCATGTAGCAGGGTTTGTCTCGTTATAAAAGACAGACATCAATGTCATGTTTTCTTGCTTTCATCGCTGGTCTGCAGCAACTTATATCTCAACATTTTCCAATCACATCTCAAAAATCATCAGTTTGGGAGTGTTTTGTGAAGGAATGCCAGTATGCCCTCCATAATGCTACTGGATGGAAAGGTTTCTTTTTGGTAGAAGGTTGACTGGCTATACTTTTGTTCAAATGTTTACTATTAGATTACCAAGATTTTAGTATATAGAATCTCTACCAGGAATCTTTTAATTGTTAAGAAAAAATAATTAAGTATTACTTACATGAAAAATATCGTATTTGCTTCCAATTATCACCAGGGGTATTGGAAAAGGATCAATTAACTCATAATCCTGTTAAACAGATACATGACAGTTAAGCAATATAAGGAAATTATAGAAGATTTCAACTGAAGGGGTTTCAAGTGAAAGGGGTTAAAATTTAGTCACAGGCGACAGGCTCTGTTTTTTCAAAACCTTAAGTTAGATGGATATACTTTAATGCAATATTATCCTGGTTTTGACTGGGATAGAGTTAAATTTCTCCCCGACAGCTGTCATAGTGCTGTGTTTCAGATTTCGGATGAGAATACCATGCCGTATTCTACAGTTTTCTCATTTTCTTCATAAATGGTCAGGAAATAATCCCTCTGAGCAGTCAGAACACTAACTGGCATAAAAGGGTTCTTGCACTATACACTCCAGCTCCAACATTAGATGGGAAGGGAAGGGAGGAAAAACCTCATATATCCACAGAACAACCGCCAGACTGGATTAGTAGCACTGGCTTTTTAGCACATTTCCCCTCCTTGCATCATATCTAAAGTAATACAGACAAAAGCTCAAGAAAATTAAGCTGAATGATTTGCTTGTGTCACACATTTCTCCTCTGCACATCACATTTTTCACACTCTTAAAAAATATTTAATGTGATTTTCACATATTTGATATCAGCAGAAAGAGGAAGCGTCACCTAACCACCATGAAAATGCAAATCAATACCAATGGATAAAAATGGCTCTGGGGCTGTAGATTTAACTGTTAGATAGCTAACTTCTGATAAAAGTTTTACTAAGTACATTTCAGTAATTCTCAAGTTATTGGGAAGGTTTTCCTCTAGTCCATATGAAATGAGACAATCCCCCTGTGTTCACGCAATTACTTAGTCAAGCTGCTTCGGTTGCAGCGGAGTGGAAAAGAGAAGTGTTGTAGCAGAGTTTGACTTAACCAGTATTAGAAGGGAACAGTTATTTCACATACAGGTTAAATGACAGTCAGTATATTAGCAGGAAGCTGCACATACAGAAAATCCTCTACTTTGAGATGAAAAAAATGGCTTCACTCATACTCTGTGAAGGTGAAAGCTTTGAGCAAGATCGTAACTTAAAACCGGGTGTATAGAATACAGAACTGAAAAAATCAGTTTTAGTTTCTTAACTAAAATAATTCAGGATAACATCAGAAACATTAAAACTGGCATACTGAACCCTATTCATCTTTTGACTATGGAATTAAGTTTTTACTATGGACTACTTGAGGTGCATCCAGCCTTTTTAAACAAAGTCTGCAAACTGATATACTCATGCTTTAACATCATAGCCAGTAATTCTTTATCCAGATCAATGGAATATATTGAATCCCTAAAAAAAAAAACAAACCCAAAACAAAACAAAAAAAACCCAACCTCATCAATTCCTGTTTATCATACAAATATGTTTAGCTATGGAGAGAAATAAAAATCTACATAACCTGTCACTGATTATAAAAGATAGTATTTCCTCTCACAAAACTGATGTAATTTTTTCTTCAGCAATGATGAAAGTAAAAAGAGAACCAAGGAGTAACATAACATTTTGTTTGCATCCTTTCTGGTTTTGATAATGAAAGCTGAATAGAAATTCTAGTTTAGAAGGTATAACTGTGTTCCCTACAGGGCAAGTATAACGAGCCTTCCTGTCTTAACAATTAATGGCATTATTCTTTTTACTTATTGAGAAAAGCTTGCAGTTTTCTGATATGTAAGCCCTACATGTAAACTTGACACTGTGGTCATGATTTATTGCCAAGTGGGCTTGTAGGCATTTTCTTTTTGTGAATTACCTTCTCAAAGTAAAAAACAAAATCATAATCCAGCAGATCTCAAACCCTATACTCTAAATCTACCAAGTGTTACATGTGTTGCTTTCTCTTAAATTCTGCTTTTAAATTTTTGAACTACAGCATTATTTGCTGTATTGCGGCATTTTACAGAAGTTACAGTAACTAGATTTAAGTGCCAAGTCTTTGGATTGTTGAATACTTATTTATGCATTATATACACACAACATTTGTAGAGGTTTAACGCACAATGACTTTTCATTTCTATTGTGCATAATCTAGTTTAGCTTTGCCAGAGATTTAGTTAGCAATTATGTTTAAAGGACTGATGTTAACATTTCTGAAACTTTGTAATTTAATTAGTTGTCAGATTATCAAAAGGTATTGAGTTTGTGATAGACATTTAAATAAATGCAAAGTATACAGTCATGTTGATGGCTGTTATAACTATATTCTTTGCTTAAATTTGTACCTTCAGCTAGTCTCTTGCTAGATGACTTTTGTACATTCTAGTTTTCATCTTCATTTTAAAAAGATGAGGGGGGGAAAAAAGCAAACTGCTACTCTAAAACTATTTCTTTTGATTGGTGTAACATGCCATAACAATCACATTAGATATCTAACAAAAAGATATAAGAAACCTTCTTTCCTTGTTTCTGCTCTTATTGAATTTTTATTAAATTGCTATAATTTTCCAGTGAACAGGTTCATCTACATCAAATGGATTTTCAGTCATGCATAAAAATCTAAAAGAGTTGTTTATGATTTTCAAAAGCATTATCTTTAACTGTATAGAGGCCTGTGACATCTGGAGAAAATATTAGAAGTAACTTACTGGATGATCCCTCTGCAGACTCTTCTGTATCCTCTGTTTAATTTCAGTAGCTACTTCAGGATTTGTCTTTTCAAGTTTGGTTAAAATTTTGTTCACGTGGTTCCTGGTGACCTGCAAAAGCTTCTCCATAGTAGTCCAGAGTTCATTAGGTCTGGAGAGATCCAGTACAAGAACTACAGCGAATGACCTATTAAAAAGGCATTATTTGGTCAGATCTTTAGCACATGAGACAATCGACATTTTCTTATACAACCATACTTGTAGTACAAATGCTGAAATCAACAAATGTGAAAATACAAATGCTAAGATAGAATTAAATGTGACAGCAAAAGAAGATGGCTTTAAGGAATACTCTCAGCTCTGAAGAAACCCTTCCCATGTCTCTCGTTCAGAACTATTACTTTGGCAACTTTCCGCTGGAGATTTTGGACAGACTGTGGACATCAAACTTTGTTTCTGGAGACTTTGTTTCAAAGCAGTAAAATATGCAAATATCCTGAGCCCATTTAGCTCCTTCTTTCTTTATTACTGGGCACTTCTACAATTATGTACCCCTGCCATCTTATAACTTTACAATCCCTGATGAAGCAATGTTAGCAAATGGTTAGGATCTTTTCTAATGTTAATGTATTAGAAAGTTCTATACCTTCATTCTTCTTTTGTAATATGAAATGGAAAAAAAATGGTTAAGGTTGATATTCTGTGCCATGGGCTGTGCCAATGAGCTGGAACCTCAAATGGGTGTATAAGAAAGTCTTCTGAAAGAATAATGGAAGTGAGAGTACTTAACACATACTTAGCAATTACCAGGTTTTAAAGGTGGATTATGATGAGATATGTTTTACACAAAATCCTCTCCCTTCCAAAACCCTGCCTCCCAAAACTCTAACTGCATTGAAGTGCAACTGTAAAGAACATTGCAAAAGCAGCCATTTGAATGGATGCAGTCACTCCTTCATATTCCATCTTGACTTGAAAAAAGGGATTCCAGAACAGAGTGGTATTAGAAAGACAACAAAGCAAAGGGAACGTCCAATTTCACTTCAAAATGTCGTGGTGAAAAAAATACGGTGAAAAGTCTTAGTGAAAGATATAGTTCATGGAACTTTTAAATAAGCAAATTGCTTGACTACAGACAGATGAGAAAACCAGTGAAAAGCACTTGCACTTAAGTTGAAATGATAGGATTTTTGACTAGCATGTTAAAATACTGCCTTATGAACAGAAGTGTTCTTACAGAGCAATGTTGCTGTCCCATCAGAGAATCTTAGGGTCATCCAAATCAGAAGATTCCTTATCAGTAAAAAGGGGAGAAAAGACTGATGGAGGTGAAGCTCAGTTAAGTTCATTTAGACAATAGCTGAAAAATTATAGTTGATTTCCACCCCGCCCCCCAAGCTCTTATAGAAGCAAAAAGCTTCAAATGCCAGAGGTGGGGGTTTTGTTATTCCTTCTTAGCCTCTCACTAAATAATGGCAATATCTCAATAGCCAAAGCAGTAGCAAATGTACATGATAAAAACTGTATCCCTCCTTTTTCAATTTCTTTTTTTCCACAGAAGTTAAAGCTCACTACCAAAGAAATAAAGCAATGCATCATAACATAAAACCTATCTTTTGATCCTTTTCTACTTTCAACTCCACCTTCCCTACCAGAAAAAAAAAACATAAAACACACCCTCTATCATCCTCTCATTTCTTCATGCATTTCTTTTTCCTATGCTATTCCATCACTTTTATAGATTTTTCTCACTACATTCTCTTAATTATGTCTAAATTCCTGTTTCCTTTTGTCTTCAAATCATTTCAATAGTTTTAGTTCCTCTCAGAAACATCATCTCTCTTGTATGATCTTCTTCTCATCAGATGGTCACTTCACGTCCCAAAAAATCCAGAGATTTTTTTCAGTTTTTTTGTCTTTTCACCCTAAAATACTGCCCTCACAGAGACAGCATCTATGTTTGCACTATATTTGCATACAGAAGTGGGAAGCACCATTTTATTTTTCGTATGCTCCCAAGTTGCTTTTTTTGTTCTTTCAGTAAGCATGAAGATACTATGTCTTCTCTTTTTCTGTATTCCTTGTTCTACCTACTTAAGGCCAACCTGTTTCCTTCGTGTTAACACCTTCTCTTGTTGGAGATTGTCAAGAACTTGGCTTATTAGAAGAGAACCATGAAAACTATGAAAAGGAAGGTCAAGGCAAAGTATCAGTGGTATTACAATGACTTTTTAAGAAAAAAAAAAATCGTAAATGTTCTATCTTCTATTTTGAAAGAGTTTTCCACAATAAAAGGTCTAGAGATACAGTTATGTTTGAAGGAAAGCTGAAATTAACTTCAGAATTGTGATATTAGTCACTTACCTTATGTTGTTGCTAGTGATTGGTATTCGAATCAGTTCCAGTAATGAAGTTCCACCACCTAGTTCCCAAAAATGAGCTATATCTTTAGGCTGTAAAAGAGTCTGTTAGAAACGTGTACTTCCAGGCAACACCAAGAAAAGATCTTTATCTGGTAAACTGTTTCTCATGCATGTGACTCAGAAGAACATATATTATTTCACTAGTATTTTCTGAAAAACAAAACCAAATAAAAAACCTCCCCATGTTCAAGAAATCCCATGCAACACTTAAAGACTCCTGGCATGCCTATAACTGTCTTGATAAATGACTATGGTAAAGTGAAAAAGTCAGGAAGCAGCATGATTAATGATAAACAAGAAAAATCATGTTCTCTTCCCTTTTTGTTTATTGCAGTTCAAGACTAAGGCTTTTTACGTTTGCAACTGGAGAAGTAATGAATCTCTACCTTTGTATTTAGTTTCTGGGAAAAGTTTTAAGTGATTTTTATCTTTCAGATTTTCCACTCCCTGCTTTGGTAATAGAAACAGCAGTTAACTGCAGCAGTAGTTACTGCTGCTGCTGGGCAGTGGTGTGCTGCAATAGGAATGGGTTCAATATTTCTGTTAGCATAATCTGCAGTGCAAAATTTAGTGATGTGGACACATAACCCAAAAATTTAATTATGATTTCACATCCTCTGAGATGACTGCTTCTCTCACAAAACTGGCTGTAAAGTATCTTCACCAGTTTGTAGTAATTTTGCATTTAAAGACAAAGCTAAAGGCATACATACTATGTTACAATGTGAAACCAAGAACACTCAAACACAACAAAGAAAGTAGTTTTTAATAGATGAATCTTGACTGCTTTGTGTTATCTCTGATCTACTGTGCTTTAGTGAGAGGGAAAAACATATTACAGATTCAAATTAAAAATAAAGCTAATTTAAATAAAATTATAATAAAAATTATTTTTGTTTCACAAACAATACGCTAAAAAAATAAGATTTTTATACATAAAAATAAAACACATTTTTATGTGTGTGTATACACATATATAAAGATATAGTAAACTACACTTCCCAGATACTTACTGCATTGTGTCTCCTTGCCTTTCTTCCAAAAGTATATTCCAAGGCTAACGTTGGCTTTGCAATCTCTTCCCTATGCAAGGAAAAAAATAATTTTGTCAAGATCCTCTAAATATGGAAAGGTAATTCTACACTTACTAAATTGTATTTATCAGTCAGTTGAGAATCTGGTTTAGAAACAGCAGTGCAGAGAGGACACTTTAAAACAACAGGCCTCAGCTGCTGAAGACAGGAGAAGCACCAATCTGGATAGGTGGGCATTTAAGCTCTCTAATACTGGAGAAGAACTGAAGGGGTCCAGGGACAGGTAATAATGAAGGGAAATAAGTTTATCCATAAATGATCAACTGGTCACAGAATACAACATCTTTATACCTATATTATGAATTATCACACAATTTAACTATTTATGTAAGATTCTAATCCACAGATGAAAACTACTTTTAAAAATTTAACACGTACCTGTCAAGACATCTCAGTATAATAGTGGTCTTTCCCTGGAAATTAAAAACAAAGAACCCTACTGTACTGTCATTAAAGCATAAAAGTTGTATCATGAAATGAAACTCACTCATTTATCATTACAATATTAAAGTCCTAGAAAAGTGTAAACTCACATAATTGTTTGTAGCTTTATAGTGGAAACTTAACTGCCAACTTTCTGTCAGAATCAAGTTACACTACCGTTATTATAATTATGAACTAATAGAGATGGCAAATACAGTAATATTAATAGTGTGCTTAAAATTAGTCATTACTGATCAACGTGAACAGCTCAAACTATTTAACATTTTTAATTATTAATAATCCATTTATGTAATACTTGGGTTCTGCTGGAATTAATTATTACTGATAACATAAAAAGAATGCTTAAAATACAAACAAACATGCAAAAAGTATGTCTTTACACTGCTGAAAGTCAGACACTGAGTACCATACCACAGTAGAGGAGCTAACACTTCTACAGCTTACTCCTGTGTCCTTTCCTATCTCAAAAATCAGTGAATTACAGGTAAACCTGAAAAGCCACTGTATTTTCTCTGAAAAAGGTATTTTTAAAATTGCTAAGAGAATGCACATATACCAATCCTTCTAAAATAAAAATTGTATTCTTAAATATGTGACTTAATTGGTCAGAGAGGCAAGTATTTCTTTATTTACTTTACAAATAAATGCTAACAGAAGAAAAATATGAAATTACTAGTGACCAGACTTTGTGGGCAATGAGTTAAAACAACCTTAGGCATTTGGAATCATGAGTTTGCAATCACTGATAAGGCATGTTCAAACAGGTCTGACATAACAGAGACACAATTCATAGCAGGATGTCAAGGCCTCTAGCTACAACAAAACTGGTATCAGTGCACTTAAATTGTACTGTTATCAGTTAAACCTTTACAAAGGGAAATTTGGCATGTCAAACAATTATTTCCATGAGGTGTTTTTTGTTTGTGTTTGGTTTTTTTTTGTTTGTTTGGTTGGTTGGGTTTTGTTTTTTTGTGTTTTTTTTCCAAAAAATAATGAAGCCAAACCTCAAAGAATTAGCACATCATTGATAACAATGGTTGAAGTTTCAACTCTCCAAACCATAAACTTGAACTTCTGAATTGTACTAATGTCTAACTGGTCCACACTCCAGAACGCCCACTCTGTGAAATCAGAACATGACATATTTTTGTCTTTAGAAAAATTAAGTAGACCTTAGTATCAGAAAATATCAGATATTTTCCCAATGTTTGAAAAACACAGAATTGTACAATATTTAGCGTTACCCCAGTTTTGCTTCCCATAAATAATACTGATTTTTCCCAAACTTCCACACGCTTGCCATCGTCATCAGGGTTTTCTCTCTTCTCCACTTCAGCTATAGCAAGATCCCATAAAGTATCACTAGTTAGGAAAACCAAAATAGGAGTGTTATTAGAGAAAAACAGTGAACCCTACACCGTAATTCCTGAAAATACCCACATGGATAAATGAAGGGTATCGTGGTTTATTATTATTTCAGATCACATTCCCTCTGCTTGTCGAAGTACTTCTAACAAAACCAGGTTAAGTAAAATAACTCCGGTAACCCCAACAGCTGTTTGTGAGGAAACACCTGTGTGGCGGGAGGCTTTCTTCTGCGTACGTTTAGGGGACCTTTCAAAGGTTTTCTAACGATGAAGGCTTCCCACGGGACCCTGCCGCTCAGGCTGGCAGTCTCGGGCGTGGGGAGCTCCCGGACGCCGGCACCGGTGAGGGGTCGGCGGGCTGGGGAGGGCTCAGGTCCTGCCCTCGGCGTCCCGGGGAAGCCACTGCTCGGGGCAACGAGGGCTGCCCCGTCCCCGGCTCCCCCCATGGGCACCTGCGGGGCGGCGGAAGTGGCTCGGGCCTCCCCCTTTCTACGGGCTCCCTAACAGGAGCAGCCGGCCCCTCGCACCGCCATCCTCGCTCGTTTTAGAGGACGGAGGCCGAAACGGCCCCTTTTAGGCCTTTCTCCCATCCCCCCCCCCACGCTGTCCTCCCCGCCCGCCGGCTCCTTCCCCCCACAGCAGCGGGGACAAAGCGCCCTCCCCGAGCCCGGGCAGGGCTCCCCATTACCTGGCCTTGGGCATCGCTCCTCGGGGCCCAGGCCTGGCTCCCCGTCGCCACGGGAACCGCGCAGGGCGCGCTGGGCGGTGTAGTTCCGCGGGGGGTGGCGGAGAGGACGGCGGCGGCTTCGTCCCGCCTCCCCGCCCGGCGCCGTGCTCGCCTCAGCGCGCCCTGCGGGCCGGAGCGGCCCCGCCGGTTCTCCGTGCTGCGGCGGGCCCCGCTGCCTCGGGGGCCACGGCGCCCCTGAGGTAAAGCCCCGCGGCCGCCCGCGGGAACCCGGAGTTGTTCGTGGGACCCGTAGCTGCCTCTGTTGTTTCGGGTGCTGAAAATGGCGCCCCGCCTTTTTAGCAGAGTGAGAGGGGCTGATGTGAGGGGGTGATGGAGTTGCTGGGTCCTTGGAGGACCTCGACTGTAGCCCTTGTGAGGAGACAAAATACTTCAGCTGTGGAGAAAGCCAGGGATGAATAAACAAGTCATAAATGGCAGGAGTCTTTTATTTCATCTCAGCCTTAAGCATTGGTACAGAGGCTTAATTGCACTTAAACATAAGCTCAAGCTCATGGGCCCCAAGGTAGCTTTGTTAAGAGCAGAGGGAGTGACAGAAGACCTGAGGTAGTTCCCACCCCCTGACAAGTGAACTGCATAAAAAAGTAAGTGTAATTATTTGGTAGCTACTTGGGCATACAAATCAACTATTCTAAATGTAACTAAAAGTAAGATGCTGTAACAAACAGAAGACGGGGCCTGGATTATTTCAAATAAGATCTATTAATCAAAGAATGTGTTAGGGTTGAATTAGAAAATACATTTCAAAGAATGCAGTAAGAGAGCAGGATGACACAGCAAATGAAAGGGATATAGGATGTAGGTGAACCCGACAAGTCAAAAGTGTCAGTGAAGTGACTTAAAATGCAGGACAGGAATTACAGTTGATCACCTGCAGCTGAAGAGGTGCTTTGTGTCTTGTGAGATTAGAGATGGAAGAAAGTAAGTAAAATCCTCTCTTAGCCATTTTATCAAAACCAGGAAGGTGGCCTCATTCACAATGATTAACTCAGAATTGATTTTAACTGTTCCTTCTTCCACTCCCCAAAATGGTTTATGTAGCCTCCTGCAGACCCTAAGTAATACCTGTTCTTTAAATAAGAGGTTTTTCTAAATTTAATTTACGTAATCTCTCAGTTTCGGTTCCAGAAGCCTTCATATGGTTATTTTCACCTGCCTTTATTTATGTCCAGGTTTTTACATCAATTTAGAGCATTTGTTAAGCCTCTATGGAAACCATGGTCTTGCTAATTAAAATGTATGTGTAGTGGTCTTTTGGTACTTAAAGGGGCCCTACGGAAAAGATGGGAAGGGAGTCTTTATCAGGGAGCATAGTGATGGGACAAGGGTTAATGATTTTAAACTGAAAGAGGGTAGATTTTGATTAGATGTAAGGAATAAATTCTTCACTGTGAGGGTGGTGAGACACTGGCACAGGTTTCCCAGAGCAGCTGTAGCTGCCCCCTCCCTGGAAGGGTTCAAGGCCAGGTTGGACGGAGCTTTGAGCAGCCTGGTCTGGTGGAAGGTGTCCCTGCCCATGGCAGGGGGGCTGGGACTAGACGGTATTCAAGGTCCCTTCTAACCCAAATCATTCTATGAAAATCCAGAAAGAAACTTCATTGTTTATTGTTATACTGTGGCAGGTCATGCTGATGCCTTTCTAAGTGCATTTCTTTCATCAATTTAATTTCAACTGAATGTTTCTGATGTCCTGATATGTAAAGCTAGTGCTGACCTATAATTAGCAGTTAAGAGGTGGTAAAAGCCCTGGGACAAAGCTGTTCTTGTTCTGCCAAAGATAGCAAAATTAAGGTAGGAATTGCTCCTGGCACTATGATCTAGGAATATATTACTGCAACATGAAGAGTGTAAGAATAAAAAACAAAGGATTTTTACAGTGATTTACTCACTGGCAGAGAGGTGGCAAATCTGGAAGATGCTGCAGTGCAAATCTGAGCTTTAAGCGCAGTGTAAGGGTGAACAATTAGTAAATTGTACTGAAGTCCAATCTGGAAATGAAATCTGAGTTTTCAGTATTTTAACCTCAGTTTCATTTCCTTTGTCCTAAGAAGCTGTAAAAAAAATACTTTTTTCTTCCTAATTCATTATTACTGAGTTACTAATCACCTTAGTTAAAATTAACTCAAACTAATGGATTGCACTAAGCTGTGTGGAATATTAAAGCTCTCCCTAAAGCTTTAAGTGGTGCATTCCTTTATGCAAGGATGAATGTTTTCCTTCAGGAAAAAATAAAAAATGAAACTTATAAAAACAGTGTTAGTCTGACAAGGAACTCCAACACCAAACACCTACCAGCCTTATTTTATAGGGAAATATATGCCTCTATTTTAAACTTAAATATATAAACCAAATTTAAATCTAAAATAAAACACTAATTTTGTGGATTGTATTCAAAACTAAAAGCTTTATCATTTGCCTGCTCTACTACAGGAGTAAATAGGTCTTGCATGTTTTAGAGATGAGAAGTTTGCTTACTAATACTGCTGCACAAAAATTGACAAGGCAAAGTGAAGTTCAATTAATATATTAATTTACACTGCATTCCAAATGCAGTTTTTCAAATCAGTGTGATTGTTTATACAGAGTTACAGTGATCTGAAAGTTGTTATCAAGCTCAGGTTCATCTATGTTTTATACTGCTTTTTGATATTGACCACTAGCTCAAAGCAAGCACAAAAGATGTTCTGAAGTTTATGATAGAAAGTGAAGTCTCCTTGCCTGTGCCGACACATTAGTCTCATCCTGAGAATATTTTTACAACCTAGGTTCTTCAGGCCTTGAGCACAGGAAGCTCTTCAGCATCATTCTCAGAGGTTGCTGCTTATTTGACAGCTCCCACCGTATCATCGCTGCCGAAGATCAGAAGGTGAGAAAGGTCTAAGTTCCTACCTGGGCTTTAGTCATGGGTTAGGTAGCACAGTACAAATTGTTTTGGTGGGTGACTCAAGGTTAAGACTGAGATGTGGATCACTCAGGAGGCTTGGGCTGGGTGGGGAAGGCAGAACAGATCATCTGCCCAGACTCTGAAATGTTCAGCTTTGCTGTCTTACATTGTGTGGTCTCCTCTCAGTAGCTCTAGAGCTAGATGAACATGGAGCAAGTCCCCCTGAGACTTGCCTAGCTGTGTTTGGAAGTGTGCTTGTACTTGCTGACTCTGTTAACTTGAAGGGCAGTGTCTGCTTGAGGAGGTTACTATCACTATGGAAACCTGACTCTTGCTCATCAGAACCCTGGAAGAAACTTCATTGTTTAATGTAGTGTTGTCACAGTAACTGTGATTCTGAATGCATTGATTTCCTAACAATTAAAACAGCAGTTCTTGTAATGGGACTGTATGGGATTAATGGTGACCTGTAATGAGCAGTTAGTGGTAGCAAGTCTGGAAAGTACTGCCAAAAAAAGGGAAACTAATGCCTGGATTGTTTCTGGCACTATGATGTAGGGATATACTGCAGCAGCAAGAGAACAGCCATCTCTAGAGTTATCTATCCAGAGGGAGGCAGAAAGGTCATACTCCATAGATTGTATACTGCTTTATAAAGCAGCTGTTTGTAAGGCTTTAAGTGTTAATGAAGACTGTTCATAGCACCTGATCTGCTGGACAATTAGGATATAATTACTAGTTGGAGTATTGTGGGTTGATAATTATTGTAATTTCATGATGACTTGAAGATTTTTGTATTTGTAAATTGAAGTTTCTTATCATAGTGTTTGAGAAGGTTTTGACTACGACCCGAGTATAACTGATGCGGTAGCATGTTTGAATTTGCAAACACCTGCCCCCCTCAATTCTCTAAAAGTTAACTGTTCTGCTGATGGCCAGGGGATGTTAATTCCTAACTCAATTTCACCACGGTATCTGCAGCACTTCATGTGGGGTGCTGCACAAAAAGATGCTGCAGTTGCTGCCAGGGTCTCGTGGAGCTTCCAGCATGCTTTCCTTGACAATGGCAGGAGATTGGCCACCCTCTGGGAGGTAAAACCTGCTGCTGCTGCTGGCCCTGCCTGGTTGAGAGAGAAGGATCTAGTACCACAGCCTCCACCAAAGGGTGAAAATTTGCAGGAAGCTCTTTCTGCATTGCAAATGTAAAAGCATCTACATAATGACTGTGAACTTGCTTGTCATTTTTCAAGAGAAAGCACTGGCTCACAGTGCCATTCATAAAATGGTGCTTGAGTCCTCCAGACTGAAGTAGCTGTGGCAGGACTCGCAGAGCTTGCAGAAGAAATGAGTTTATCAACTCAGCTTGGCAGTTTGTCTTTCCACTTTTTCAGTGCATGTTCTTCTTACAACCTGTAATTCCCTTCCAACTTGTTTTAATTCTTCAAGAGGATACTGCCTACCTTTCATAGAAGGCAAACAGCTGAAAATTCCTTTTCTTTCAACATGAGTGTGTATGTATCTGAAATCTTTAAATGCCATAAAACAAAGGAGATTTTCAACCTTCAAATACTAAAATTCATCATTGTGAAATTACTTCAGTTTTAAGTAATTAAAAACCACCAAAATGATGAGGTCAAGCAGTAAGGGATTAATGACCCATAATTAGCATAAGCAGAAGTGGATATTCTGAAATGTATATAAATCAGTGATTTGACTACCTTCTCTTTGGTTGGACCTAAATTATCTATTAGAGTATGCTGCTGATCCATTTCAGAGCCTGCAGAAGTGGTTTATTTGCACAGAAATTAAAATGTGTGAATTGGAAGAAAAAATGAATGTAATTTCTATGCATTTGACCCAACGTAGCACTGAGGCTTGCAACTGGAAAGTTCTCCAAGGTCCAGTAGTGCAGACACAGCATTACACCTTCAGTGTGCAAGAACATTATATTAGTATTGTAACATGAAATGTATTGACACAAATGAAAAACAAGTAATACAACTTTTACAAAATATTATTCTGAATCAGTGTATATACATTATACACATTATACATGGATTTTATATGTCACATGTCTCCAAGTTTACTCACAACAGTTCAAGCAATGGCCTTCTGTGTTATTCGTGTTTTGAACTGTGAGTCATTCTTGCCTCTGTATTACATTATTATTCTGGATTAAAGAAAAAATGAGGTACGGGATCTTGTTTAACAAAACTATACTAAATACATTGCCTGTCCAATGTAGTTTTTTCCAAAAGGCTGAGGCAGGGAGGGATTATTTAGAAATTTACCAGACCAAGGCTGAATATTTGCCAAGTAAAATAGCTGTATAACCAAAGGCTAGCTAATGCATCATGAGAATACTCCTT